TATATATACATCCACCTTGATCAAAAAGTTCCCGAAATTACCACCAGGTGATGCTCTGAGTCAGCTGATTTGAGTTCTGTTTTTTTTAGGTTAGGTTGCTACATCTATCATTGACATTCCCACCAAATTTTATCATCTGACATTTGTAAAAGTTACGCCGTCTTGAGTACCTCTACCTCTGCACGTATTTTCGATTTTTTACAGTTTTAAAAATGGAGTTGAATTTGCAACAACGAGTTTATATTAAATTTTGCGTTAAAAATGGATTCAATGGTGAAAACCTTGGAAATGTTGGGAAAATGTTTCGGCAGTGATACTCTAAAGAAAACAGCCGTTTATGAGTAGCATGAACGTTTTAAAAGTGAGTCCGTCGAGGATGACGAACGCAGTGGCAGGCCGTCGACATCGAAAACCGATAAAAACATCAATAAAGTGAGAGAAATGTTGATCAATAACCGCAAATTAACTATCATTAGAGAACTGGCAAAGGATTTAAACATTGCTTATGGATCCATTCAGGACATTGTAGTTAATGATTTGGGTTTGCGCCGTGTTGCTGCAAAGTTGGTCCCGAAGGAACTGAATTTCTTGCAAAAAAGGGATCGCGTTGTCATCACCAAAGACATTTCCAAGGCTGAATCCAACATTCATCAAACGCATCATTATTGGAGACGAGATGTGGGCTTATGAGTACGACACGCAATCCAGACATCAGGCGAGTGAATGGCAAGCTTCAAATGAGCCAAGACCAAACCACATCGTTTTCAGTCGAAAAAGAAAGCGATGCTCACGGTTTTCATGGATTACAACGGTATTGTACATCACGAATTTTTGCCAGAAGAATTTAGACAGTTATAAGGAGTATTATTTGGGCATTGTGAGACGTTTGCGAGAAGCATTTCGCCAAAAAAGGATTTGTGGGCAAACAACTCGTGAATTTTGCACCATGATGACGTACCGTCGCATAGTGCCATCATTATCCGTGAATTTTTAACCAAGAACGAAACAAGAATACCAACAGCCGAATTCACCTGATATGGCTCCCTGCGATTTTTTTCTGTTCGATCGAGTCAAAAAATCATTACGGGGAACGCGTTTTAACAGCCGAAAGGAGGTAATAGAAAAATCGAAGACGGCTCTGATGGCTATACCGACAATAGAGTTCCAGAAATGTTTCGAGAGCTGAATCAAGCGCTGGCATAAGTGCGTTGCAGTCGATGGGGAGTACTTTGAAGGGGACAATATCACTTTTGATGAATAAAACTTGTATTTTGAATTTTCTGAATGAATTCCGAGAACTTTTTGATCAAGGTAGTATATATATATATAT